AAAGACATGCAGCTACTATGTTGGTGTGGTGGTTGGTGTTATCGGTACAAGAAAGTTCAGGTTTCTAAGTTGGATGTGCATTTGATTAGAACAGTTGCAATTTATGGATTTGTTAATTGTGATATGGATGTGCCTATGCATTACAACTGTTGGTATAGGAAGAAGGGGAAAACCTTTAACACTAGGAAAAGGGAACTAGTTAACAATGAAGAAGTTAAGGGCCTTTTAGAGACAGTAAATGTAGAGGGGTATGTTGAAGTTTTTGTAACAGCACAAGCTCCTAGTAAGCCCATAAAGGAGGCCCAACCCAATCCACCAAAGACAAATAAAAAGGGCAAGAACAACTACTGTGAGTGTTAGGAGGAGCCCTAGGTTTAAGAAGACAGAAACTGAATAAAGGGAGGAGAGTCCACATAGGAAGATATTTGTCACAAAGAAAGGGAAAGAGAAGGTTGCAGAAGTAGGAGCTTCTAGTTTTGCAAATGAAAAGGCTAAGTTGAAAGGGAAAGCCTCAACAAAGGCTAAAGTATTGAGGTTTGATGATGAGGAGGATGATGGAGGTGAAGGATCTGGGTATTCAAGTTCAAATTTGAGTTATGAGGACCAGGATTGGTAACCTGGTGAAGAAGAATATGATGAAGGGGATGAGGAATGGTATATTGAAGGGTCAAAGGAGATCTTGGACAAGGTGAACAAAAGCCTTAGGAAAGGTTTGGGGAGTGAAATAGATGAGGGGGTTGTTAAAGATAAGAGGTTAGAGTTGAGGGATGACTTGGATGTTGGAAAACTGAAGGTGAAGCAAGAGACTGATGGTGATTCAGATATTTCAAGGAGTTTGTGTGGATCTGATGAGGAAGAGGACTTTGCTCCATGGTTTAATGCTGTGGACTTTGACAACCCAATTTAGTTGAAGTTAAGTCAGAAATTCAGTAATGCTTCAGTCTTAAGGAGGGCCTTAAGACTTCATGCCATGCAAAAAAGGTATGAGTTCTACTTCTTGCATAATGACAGTACAAGGATTACAATTCATTGTAGGCATAGATGTGACTGTGAGTTCAATAGTTACACCTATAGAATGCTTGCTTGTACATGTGTGGGGGGAGTAAAGTGTCATTTTAAGGTGTTTGCATCAAAACTTATTAAGCAGCAAACTTGGCAAATTAAAAGCTTAAAATTAAAACATACCTGCTTCAGAGTGAAGAAGAACAAGATGATTACTGCTGAATATATTGCAAAGAGGTATCTAGAAGAGTTTAGGATTAACCCTGGTTGGAGAATTAAGGAGATTAGGGCTAGGATTTTGAAATGATTTAGGAATTGAAGTGACTTATTTTAAGGCATGGGTAGCTAGGTGTAGGGAAAAATTGATCATATTTGGTTTAGCTAGGGAGCAGTATGCAAGGGTGAAGGATTATGGGAAAGCTGTGATGAAGTATAACCCTGGTTCTGGGTGCAATGTTGTTGTTGGTGGTATTGACAGCTGAGAGCCACCCTTGTTCATGAGAATGTTCATTTGTTTAAGGCCACTCGGAGATGGTTTTTCAAAAGGTTGTAGGCCACTAATAGGGTTGGATGGTTGTAACCTCAAAGGTACCTTTCCTGGGAAAATTCTGGTGGTAGTGGCTAAGGATAGGAATAACAACTTATTTCCTCCAGTTTTAGGCTACAGTGAAGATAGAAAACCAAGAAACTTGGGGTTGGTTCTTAGAATCACTTATGGCAATGTTTAAACATGATCAAGGAGTTAGGCTAACCATCATGTCTGACAGGCAGAAGGTATGCTTCTGTATCCCTCTTAAGTATTTAGGTTCAATTTTTAAGTTTTCATGTGTATGTATATGATTGGCTTATGAGTTTACTTCTGTCTGCATTTGGTAGGGTTTAATTACAGCAATGGCTGATGTTGTTCCCAAATCAAAACAAAGGTTTTGTGTTAGGCATATTTGGGCTAACTTCAAGCTCAAATTTGCTGGATCAACCTTCAAGGAGCTATTTTGGAGTGCAGCCAGGACTACCACTTATGTAAGTTGGTTTGCTTCAAGGAGCTAACTTATGCTTTTATATGCTTAATCGTCCTTAATATTGGTATGCTTTTATATGGTTAATTGTCTTGATCTGTTATATATGTCTAGCTTTTATACATGTTGTCCTAAACTGGTATGTCATTGCATATTGTCAGTTTGAGTATGAAATGACCATGGAGTCTATCAAATTCCTTGATGAAGAGGCATATGAGTATTTAGTCAACATTCCGACCATTCATTGGTGTAGACATGCATTTACACCAAACTGCAAGTCCAACATATTATTGAACAACATTTGTGAGACTTTCAATGTAGTAATTAGGCATGCTAGAGATAAACCTATCCTCACCCAAATGGAATGGATGAGGAGGTATATAATGAATAAGAATAATGAAAATTGGGAGGATTCAAAAACAATTACAAGCAACTTAGTGCCATATGTGAGGAATGTTCTGGGAAGGATAGACTTTGTGGCTAGGTCTTGTGTGGTGCAACCATCAAGAGGGAATACATTTGAGGTGCAGCTAAAGGATGACCAAGTGTTGGTTGATTTGGAGAAGGAGACCTGCACATATTACCATTGGGAACTCACTGGCACTCCTTGTGTTCATGCTTATGCATGTATAATGGATATGAGGGGTGACATAGAGGCATATGTTGACCCATACTATACCATGGACACATACTGCTTATGAACTAATTGTCCAACCAATGCCTGGTCCCAAGCACGGGGAGATAGTCAAAATGAGGGAACCACAACCTCCTTTTAAGGTGCAACCCGGGAGACTAAAGAGCAAAAAAGGAAGCTTGAGCTAGGGGAATGTTCTACTGCAGGTGGTCAACCAAGCACAACAAAGAGGAAGAAGCAATGCAGTCAATGTGGGGGATTTGGGCATTATGCCAAGACCTTCAAGCTACCTGCTGCACTAGATACAGATGTGACAAGGTCAGCAGGCAGACCCCCCTTGAACACTCCTTGGATGGCGGAGGAGAGGAAAAAGAAAGAGATTAGAGCTGCAAAAAAGGTAACACAAGCATTACACCAACTCCCCCTTTGTTTTACCTTTATGTATGTTATTCTTTTATTTTTAAATCCATGTCATAGAGTGCAATTGGGGCAGGACCAAACAACATAGCAAACAAAAAGTTTCCTCAAGAACAAGAAGGTTGTCTGCCATTAAGCAAGCAAGCACAGTTACAGTCAAGGCACCCAAGCTCAAGTCAGCCTAGCTCAAGTCAACCAAAAACAAAGACAAAGGCTTCCTCAAGTCAGCCTAGCTCAAGTCAACCAAAAACAAAGACAAAGGCTTCCTCAAGTCGGCCTGCAACACCCACTCCAAACAGGTGTTGTAACAAGGGCCAAGCTGCAAACCTTCAGCAAGTTAAACCTCACTCAGTGATGTACTCATGACTGCTTAGAAAACATTGTGTCTGTCTAATCTATTTTGGTAGTTTTTCTATGGCTTTGATTGCCATTTGAACATTTGGATACATTATTGTAGCTTTTGCATGGCTTTGATTGCCATTAAAACAGTTTCAAGTAAGCTTCTTTTGTCAACCTAAAGTTGAAGTGCTTAGTTCCATTTTCAATGTATTCCTATAACTTTAATACATGCAAGTGTTTCACATTTTTCCCATGTTTAAATCCTTTTCCAATGTTTAAACATTTCTCAATTTAACAACTTAGACAAGTCATAAATAGGTTGATTGAAATACATATATATATCACTAAAACCAAACTCATAACACTTCAAGTCATTACAAGAAATTATAACTACTTAATACAGCTTACTATTAAACACCCCTAACCATTAGGAAAACTACACCCATTGACAAACCAATACAAATGGTCATGCCCACCCAACCAAAACAGTTGATTGAAGACATCTTCCCTGCATTGCACTCCCTGTTCATTCTCTTCCTGTTAGCGTTCAAGGCCTTGCATCTCATCTTCAAATTATCAACTTCATTAAGTAGGCACCTCCTTTGGCCACTGATTTCATCAACTTCCCTTTTCAATTCATTAACTTCACCCTTTAGCAGCTTCTCATCCAACCACAGGTTGTTGATAACCCCTGTTTGCCAATCTGCTCCATTAGGTTGATCAACCCATTCGAAAGCTTTGCAGCCCTAGTTTCCATGATTGGGTCATAAAACTTACAAGATATGAACTTCCTGCCTGGATTCTCCCTTGCCCAGCTAGTGAGCTTGGCCATTGGCACACCACACTGGCATTTTTTTTCCTTAAAAGGGGAAGAGCTAATAAACGACATAATCTGCATCAATTTTAGATCAACAATCACATTTACAGATTTGTACACTAACGAATTAATATTGTCAACAACAATTTTCATTTTTAATTACCTAATGCGAAAAGCCCCAATTTCAATTTGTGATGAACCCTAATTTTGTAACTAGGCAGTTACATGCATACATAACATAATCTAACCATCAATTCGAGTACAAAACAATTGTAAATTATAAATGTAATGAATTTAAACCATAATTACCAAACAAACGAACTATATTTGCCCAGTGTGATTACACATAATTCGTATGAGCACACATACCTGTTTCAGCAGCTTCAATCTCTTCCTCTTCTCAAAAATCAAATAATGCTTCAGTAATTTTGGTTTTTTGGATGCAATGCGATCTGATTCTTCTAAATTCAAACAAAGATTTGGTTAAAAAAGGGGATAATTGAGGAGAATCGTGCATATATAGAGAGATTTTAAAAAATTATCCTTTGAAGTGGGCCCCAGTAACAGTTCCGTTAGCGGATAAAAGATTTTGGTGGTAAATTCAAATTTTTAATTTTTTATGTAGTGTCAAAATAATTTTTTTTTGGGGTGTTAACCATTTTCAGTCTTTTATCTGGTGTTAAAATCTAAACTATCCTAGATAAAAAGTTTATCTTAAAATTCAATAAACAACCCAAACATCGCACGGGACAACAAACTAGTTTCTCAAATAAAGTTAGAAAAAACACATTAATTTAAGCAAACAATTTCTTACCGAAAACCTAGATCTGTCCTCTTTCTCTCTCAGTTTTCCATTGAAGCGCACTCCACATTCTCCATTGAAATTTTCTATCCGTTGAAGCTGCTTCTGAGGTAAGATATTGTTTCATTTTTATAATCATCGAATATCAATCTCACAATCTAGGGTTTATCGTTAATTCAATTCTTAGTATACTCATTCAAGGATTCTTCTAGAGTCGATCATTGAATCATTGTTTATAATTACTAAACTCGAATTTGTTGCTAGAGAAGAATAAATTATGTGATTTTTCTATCATAATTTGATATTTGAATCAAATTTGCTGAATGTAACTAGTAAATGGGACCTTTTTCTCGTAAAATTTTGAGCCTAATTTGATTATTAAATCAAATTTGGTTGCTAATGTGTTGCGGAATCCTTTAATTTTAGGATCGGACTATAAAAATTGGGACTTTTCTTCCTAATTTGTGTAAATGTGTAGTGTTAAACTGCAAATTCTCAGGAGCAGAAACTATTTGTCAATATTCTAGCTAAACTAATGCTTGCAATCATGCTGCTATTCTTCAATCAAATTGGCTACCACTTGTGCAGAGCTGTCACCCTGCTTTGTTTTGAGCATAAATTAGTCTTTCGCGTAAGTGATGCCCCTGGTTATTCCAAGAATTATTATTAATAATGTATTTATATTTTATTTTGAAATGATTACATGAAATATGACATAGTTTAGCGTTTACCGTTCTCTAGTTCATAACTTTGCCAATTGAGCTGCCCATACATGTAAACCCTTCATCATACAAGTATTTTATGGGGAGCTGGAGCAATGACGTTGGAGCTTAATATAAAATTTTTGTTATGCTGAATTTTGTAATTTCAATAATAGCCAAGATTTGACGCAAAGCTATCTTTTTGACTCAGTGGTAGGAATATATCTGGTGAAAGGACTTTGTTATCTAGCTGCATATCTTGTTGTTTTCAGTTCGGAAAAGCTATGGATTCAGTCAGCCCTGCAGAGCGCAGATACTTTGAAGACGATGACACCTCCATGATGAAGGTTATTAAGGGTACAACTAGTGGTTTAGCAGCTGGGACAATCTTTGGTACCGTTGTGGCAACATGGTATGACGTGCCCCGTGTTGAGAGAAAAGTTGCCCTACCAGGATTGATAAGGACTTTGAAGATGATGGGAAACTATGGGCTAACATTTGCTGCTATAGGTGGTATTTTCATTGGTGCAGAGCAGATGGTGGAACATTATAGGAAAAAGAGAGACTTTGTTAATGGAGCAGTTGGTGGCTTTGTTGCTGGAGCTTCTGTTTTGGGCTTCAAAGGTATGGAGTATTCTTTTTCTGATGCTATTGAAACTAGTAAACAGTAATGAATATCTTAGCAACTTCATTTATAATACCTTGAAATTTTATGTGAAGTAAAACCTTATAAAGCTAAATGTGCTGAGATATTGTGCCATATACTGAATGTAGGAGGAGGGGGGGGGGGGGTGGGACTAACTTGTATGAACTAAAGAAATTAAGGTAACTGTGTGTTTCAAATCACGTTTGTAATTATACTAGGTTGTTACAAACCTTTAACATCATATTTCAAAATTCTATTCAAGAAACCCTATAAGATTTCTATATGCATTTTATGATGGCTTTACCTGGTTGCTTCTTTCCTCTCCTTTTTCCTAAATTAGGTACTTAAGGTTGTTTTTTGCATATCATGCAAATATAAATCGACTGTGGCTGGCTTTATTTAGAGTTAAAAGGGAAGTTAAAGCCCTATATTCTGTTTGCTGATTTTAAATGGCCGACACTACTCCCTTTGTTACTAATAATTTGTCATTCTTGAAACCTATTATTTGTTAGTGAAAAATTAGTGTTCTTCAATTTCGACTTAAAAATTTTGCCTACTTTTCTTATATTATACTTACTATATTTAATACATCACTTTTTCTTACTAGATTATCATTCCAACTCATATTTATCTATCTCTTATTGCTTTAAAGACTACTTAAGTGGTTGTATTTGCTATCCTTAATTCCTGTGCATTGCTCTGAAACTAGGGATGCAAGCAGCTTGTATAGCTTAAATTTAACGAGTTTCTTCAGTGCCACTGTGGTTTCATAGCCTTGACAATGATAGTGTGAACTATGCAATATAGGGGCTCAGATGGGCTTCGTTCATGTGTATTTTGAAATGTAGCTTTCAATATTTATCATGTACATCAATAATTCAATATATAGGAACCTGTGTTTAAATCAACTTGAAGAGATGAATGTGAATTCATGATAACTTTAGGAAGAATCTCCCCTGAATATAGATGATAAAGAACAACTTGAACTCATTGTGTATATGACAAAAAAAATACAACTAGTGTTGTTTATGCATCTTTCCCTTGATGTTTTTTTCCCTAACCTAGTTATTCTCGATTTCCTATCCAGTTCTTTTCTGATGTTTTGATGGAAATCGGTAAATTTCAATATACATGAAAACTTTAGGAAGAATTTCCCTTGAATATAGAAAATGTAGAACGGCTTGAAGTCATGGTGTATATGAAAATAAGTACATTAAGTTTTGCTTATTCTATTCGTAACTGCCCATCTTTCAACTGATGTTTCTTTTTCCTAACCTCCTTTTTCTCTGTTTCCTATCCAGTTCTTGCCTTATGTTTTGAGTTCTTGTCTTAGTTTTTATGGAAATTGGTGAATTTCAATTTACTACCTTCATCTCAAGAGATTTTGCTTGAAGTCTCTTGTATGTTCACATCTCTGCGGTCTCCATTATACATTAGGAACCTTTGAAAGGTTGATGACACTAGTGGATTATGTGCTTAGTTTCCTTCAAATCTTTACACTATACTTGATTGAAGATTTAAAGTGGTTCCATGTTGGTACCTTTTGCATATGTGAAAGATTTCGTTACCATCCATTAGAATATCTATGGTATGTGAAAAAATTTCTTTGCAATACAAGTGTTGCATAGAAGTATTTTTTTGTTGTGACATGTTAGACACTTAGACCTATTGCTTATGTTATTTTATTGCTCTTCAATTAGTTCCTCCCCTTTCCTATTTTTTCTGTATGATTTCCACTAGAATGGTTTGGGAGATAAGAACTGGTCAAGAAAAGTAGCAATTATTGTTTATTTAGTTTAGATAAGATAAGAGCCAAGATAAGATAAGATAGGGTTAATAAGTGACAAAAGGTCAAATAAGACCCTAAATAAGGTCCAATAAGGTCTTATAATTGTCAATAATATAAAAATGGGAAATTCTCGATGGTAGCCTTCTACTTTTGACTTTTACTATTGGTAGCCAACATTTTTTCCGATTGCATTGGTAGTCCCGAACTTTTAATCTTTACCTAAAATAACATTAATGACATATTTTGGTTAAATCTAACTTGATCTAACCATGGTTAAACCTCTCTCTCTCTCTCTACTAAACAATCAACATCATGTCACCATTAAAAAACCTCCACCTCTTTCTCCATTAAATTCCAACTCATCTCGTCTTTTCTCTTTCCATTAAATTCCCACTAACATCACACATTCACTCCTCTTTTGCTTCTCCAAAACTATCGCAAAATTCTAGGGTCAAGATATTTATACCTCTCAATGCTCTTATTCAAGGCTTTCCCTAAATTTGTCTTAATATTGGCCATTTTCTTCAATTGAGATATATCACTCATCCTTGTATTCATCAAATCTTATATTCGACCATTTCATTGGTTTCTTCAATAACCTTAAGCCCATCGAATTTCTCAAAAAAAAAATCAAAAAGCTTATTAATAATTTCCTGAATTCAGCTGCTCACATGTCAAACTACCACTGGCGGTGATACATATATATGCGGTTCACTCACAAGTGGTGAAGCAGATCAAAATGGAGGAAGGGATTATTGCTTGTGGCTTCGTGGGAGTGTTTATCGAGAGGAGAAAATTAAGGTGAGAGATATAGTTTCGATTGTTAGTTTAAGGTGACATTATGTAAGACATGATGAAGACAAAGGTGGTGGTATCGCTGGTAAATTTGCAGTGATAAGTGATAGGTGTAGTGGTTGAAGGCTTGTTGGTGATTGGATGCTAGAGGAGAGAGAACAAGAATGAGGATGGAGGTGGGTGGGTTTGGTATATTTTTATTCATCTTTATATTGAAAAATGAACCTTGGTTAAGAGATTATACTCTCTCTCTTTGTTTGTGTTCTACTTATTAACTTAGTTATCATAGTAGTGAATAAAGTAAGAGAAAGTGTGAAAAAATGTAATTATTGTGAGATTGAAGGGGTATGATGGTAAAATGGATAAGCCAAAAATAGAATAAAATAAAGGGTGTCTAGCGAAAAGGATGAACTAAGTTGTCACTTGTGATGTACGGAGAATCAATTTGCGAATGCACAACGCTAGTGTATGTAAATTACTTGAAAGGTGTCTAGTGAAAAGGATGAACTAAGTTGTCACTTGTGATGTACGGAGAATCAATTTGCGAATGCACAACGCTAGTATATGTAAATTACTTGAAATTAATGGTTTAGTAAATTACACATTGTTATATAATTACTCCGTTCTTTTTTAGTTGTCATGTTTTTGACTTTTGACACTATTCACAAACTTTACTTTTATTACCTTTAATGATTTGTAGTTACGATAAAACAAAGTTATATAAAGATTTTGTTAGAATCCTCTCAATATATATATTCATAGTATTAACTTGTTATAATTTTTACTTTTTTATAATAAGAGATATTAATTGGTGAAGTTGTGCGTTGACAAACTGTAATAGACCAACCAAGGAGGGGTAGTATGGGTATTCTACTAATGTTAGTTTACTAGGTTAATTGTCCTTGGTATAAATAGAGAGGGAGGGGAAAGAAAAAGTTAGGCCGAAATTTGTATGGAAAATCTATAGAGTTATGGCCTCAAGCCTTTGTTAGAGAGTGATAGTCTCAAGCTATTTTGAGGGAAAGCTATTAACTTTATCATTTTGCAACTTCTTTTGCCATTAAAAATGAAATTTCCTAGATTTCATTTTGAATTTTCCTATTGTTCAATAAAACATACAAACCAGAATACCACTCTATAACACAAATGTGATAAAAGAAAAATGTAAACTAAATAAGAACGGAGGATATATATATTCAACATGCTTCCAAATAAAATTTTTTAAAAAATTGGAGATCGGTAATTTTTCATATGTTAATTCCACCACCCACTATCATAGTGGGGAACTTTTACACTATGTTAGGATAGGAATATTTAAAGGTAAAGGGAGGGAAGAAGAAGTAAGGGATATAGTTTTTCTTAGTTGGTTATGACATAGAGCAAGGGAAGGGAAAGGAAATGGAGGGATTCATTTTCCTTCCCTTTAAATAAACCAAACCCCTCCATTGTTGGAGAGATTTGGAAGGAAAATGGAAGGTCACTGACTCTTTCTCTACCTTCACCTCCCTTCTTCCTCTTTTTCCTTCCCCTTCACTATTGTTATCATACACTATGTTTGGATAGCAATTATGAAGGGAAAGAAAGGGAAGGGAAGTATAAAGAAGGGGAAGAAAAGGAAGGGGAGGGAGAGTGAGTTTCTATTTTTTTTTTCCAAATCCTTACGAAATTGAAGGATTTGGTTTATTAAAGGAGTAGGAAAATTGATCCAACTAACTATGAAACTATCTCCCCTTCCTTCCTTCCATATGCTATCCAAATAAGGGATGACCTTTCCCTCCCTTTCTCTTTTCTTCCTTTCCTTCCATTTCTATCTATCCAAACATGGTGTTAGGCTTCTTTTCATGTCATCTTCCCTTTCATTCTATATTAGTGCGTGTTTTCGATGCCTCTGTTCCTATACAACATTTTCTTTTTTCTTTCTGAAGGGCGTAATATATATTTTCTTCATTGAGTGGCTCATATTGTGTGATCTCTCCTCCCTTGAAGGGCGTAATATATAGGCTCTTCATTGAGTGGCTGATACTGATCACTCTCTCCTTTTATATTAATTTTTTTTTGAAAATATTGTACACTTTTATATTATGGAGGGAACTTAAATCTTCCAAGTTTTTACTTAGTAATATCTCTAGTAGAATTGTGAAATTGATTGGGAATGCTTCTGAGGCTAAAATTGGGAGATATGCCCTATTGGCTCCTTTAATTGATTTAGGTGCTGTAACAAACTTAGGAAAATTATACTTCGTATATGTATGAGGACAAGGTTAGCACTGACTACTTCTATTACAATAGTATTTTGGTCACATTTGACTTTGGAGGTCAAAGCTCAAAATTCTTGTTCTTATGAGCGGAATATGTCAAAATTTATATTCTTTTGGTCTTAAGTTGTGTGCAAATTTTTAAATTCGTGACTCTTATCACTTGATAGAATGATTAAAATTGATATTTTTGGGTTTTTTCGTGAGACATATTTGACAAAATAATTTTTTATTGTTTTTTAATGGTCATGCACTCATGCTGACTAAGCTTGACCATAAAAATTTAAATTGGCCAGTTATTGTATAAAGTTTTATTTATTTTGCAGCAGATAATGTTGAAACAGTGAAATAACTGAGCTTTCACTAAGAAGGTACTATTGAACTAATGATGATCTTTAAGCAAACATTAATAACTTTGAAAGTTTATTATTATAAAATTGGAATTCTGGTCTGCTCAGATTATTTTTGCTAGGCCTTCTTGGCATATCGCATATCCTTATTCATTGTCGAGTGTATTAAGGCTTCTTAGTCTTTTTTTCCAAGCGTTTGTTTCTGTTGTTTAATGTATTTAGTAATTTTCAGGAAGGAGCATTCCAACGGCAATTTCTGCGGGAGCTGCATTGGCCGCCACTTCTGCCCTCATTGATATTGGTGGTCAGACAACAAGAATTGACAATGGTAAAGAGTACTACCCTTACACTGTCAAGAAAAGGCCTGCACCCACAGAATAAGCTCGTGTTGCTGCTATCGTGTTTCAGAGGCAATGCTTTGGCTTATTCTCAGATAAGATGTATTTTCTTGTGTAATTTCTTTTTGCCTTAGCCTTACCTTTAAACTCATTTAGCCACACTTGAATGAATTGTTGAATAAATTTGTACTGCCATTTTGCAAGTTTTAAGCTCTTTTGTTTTCCAAACAAATAAGGAAAACATTTTGCTGCTTCTTGACATCCTTAAGAGTGCAAGGATGTATAATGAGCGTTAAATCCTGATTTTTACCCACTGTTAGTGCCTTTTCTTACTTGCTAACTAGTCAGTGGCTTTAAACTTGTTAAGGCTGTAAAATTTTCAAATTCTAGCTAAAAGATTATAATTTTTGAGGCAGCCAGAGCCTATATAATATGTGAATTTCTTCCTGCTGAAGATCCTTATAAGATTTCTAATGTGTGGCTGAAGCAGTTCAAAGTTACAGGCTGCTCCCTTTAATGTTTCAACTGTGCATTGCGTGACGTGGAAGTTTGGTGAACCAAATGAATTTATGCTTGGAAACCAAACCTTGAGAAACCAAATGAGAGATTCTATGCTTGGAAACCAAACCTTGAGAAATAGCTTGGTGAACCCTAATAGGAATTAGGACAAGATGATTCTTGACCAAATTTTGTATCCCTAAGCCAATGCCTATTTAACCCCCCAAAAAAAAAGCCAATACGTAGGAAATCTTGCAAGTGACTTATCGTTCATGGATAGAATTAGGCTTGTCCAAATTTTCCTCGGATTGGAGTTATAAGGGATACTTGTCATCCAAAACGGAGGAAACCGCGCTACTAGTTTTGAAGAGAGAAGCACTCATGACATCATGTAAATGAGATTTGATCCCACATCTTAGGCACGACCCTTATTGAGCTAGTTGATACACACTTTTATTGAAGATGAACGTTGGGTTCTTATGAAAAGTTGGGTTCTTGTTTGGAGTTTATTGGGTCATCTCTAATGAATAAGGATCTTTCTTTGGCAACTTGGTGGGATAAGAACCCTACAAAGTTCGATTAGAGTAAAATGGGTATATTATCAAACCTGAACTGCCTTTTCTACCTAATTTATCTCAAAGACTTTAATCATATACGTACTCATAAAGTCATATCACTCATATGTAATGGGCAAAACCCTGACCGGACCATAAATTTCAAAGCTTGGCTTGGAGCCTTGGAGAAAGCCTAAGAAAGAAGTGTATTGGAACAACTTGGTCCTTGGAATTGCACCTCAGGGCACAATGCTCATAATGCACCCAATTAAAAGAAGAAATGAATGGATTCTTGTAGACGTTGATCTTGCTTTTAATTGACTGCAATCAAATTTCAAGTCTAATCAAGTAATAAATGTTGCTATGAGCCTATTTGTTACCTTTTTTTATTTTATTTTATTTTATTTTTAATGCATCACTTCTATAGTTCTATATAAAGTAACTTTATTATATTTTATCATTTCTATCTCTTACTTTAAACTCTACTTAAATTATATTATTATTTCTATCTCTCATATTCCCCACTTAAATAATAAAAATAGGGGGTCATTAGATACTGCCATAAAAAATGATCAAAACCGCCAACATATAGTGTGAATGGACAACTATGCCCTTATTAATTCACCACTATCTTCCCTCTTGCCACCATTCTTTAATTAACACCTTAACACCGCCACCACACTGACCGGTGACAACCACCACCACCACACTGACCGGCGAAAACCACCACCATCCTGATCGGCGACGACCACCACCACCTTACTAACCGGCGACCCACCACATCCCCTTTAATGACGACCACCACCTTCTCTTGCCGGTGGGAAGGTGGTGGTTTTTTTTTTAATTTCCGGCAACCGCACCAACCGGAGCCCAAAACTAGTTACCGGGCACGGTAACCGGTTTTGGGCTCTGGTTATCGTTGTAACTGGTTACTGGGCATGGTAACTGGAGCCCAAAAAACGGTTACCTGGCACGGTAATCGAAGCCCAAAACCGATTATCGGGCACGATATCTGAAAATTTTAAAAAACCACCACCTTCCCCCGGCCGAGGGAAGGTGGTGGGTCGCTAGTTTGTGTGGTGGTGGTCGTCGCTGGTCGGAAGGGGTGGTGGGTCGCTGGGGAGGATAAGGGGTGGTGAAGTAGTAAGGGAATGGTTGTTCATTTACACCAAATGTTGGCGATGGTGATAATTTTTAATGACGGTATTTAGCAATTCACTAAAAATATCCACTCTCACATAATTTCTCATTTATGATCCTCATCTTATTTCTATTATAATAAATTATTCACCCACTCACAACATTATATTACTCACCTAAAACTCCATGCATCACCGAATAATTTTTTTTGGAATAATCTAATGGATATGTTACAACGTTTTTCATAAATAGCCAACTACTCAAATATATGTATGCAGCATATTTTAATGATTAAGGAAATAAATATATTGTGTATGTCTTTTTCTTAATTAGACACCAATGTGGGATTGTGGTATTTGGACCTCGCACACTTGGGAAAAGAGACGATAGATTGTATAACCTATTTGAACTAAGCGGATCACCAGAAGAAAGGTGATCATGACTATTTAATTTTTCGAGATAGAGTTAGCAAAATAAGGCCACTAGGCCATAGATTGTTATTGATATTCTTGAACAATGACTAATATTTTGGTTGTTTTACTACAATAAAACTAATACCATTATTACTTAACGAAACAATAAGTAATGTATAGTTATTTTGCAATGAGTTGGGGATTTTTAAATTGGCACTTATAATTATATTAAATCATATATACTTTGTATTAACATTCGTGCATTCAAATCTATCATACGCCTACTTACATGGGGAAGGATAAAAGTGTTTTGACAATTTTTATCGATCTCCACATATAGTATGCACTAATTTTTATCGATCTCCAACTCTTTTAACAGATGGGTTAGCCGACAATATGTTGAACATAATAATCCTAATTTTGACATAGTAACCCTAATTTTAACATGGTAATCTTTATTATTCATATTGATCAGTAACTTAAAACTTTCATTAATAAAAATTTAACCTCTTATGTTTTTTTTATAATAACACAATGACTTTAATTTTAATATAATAACCATTATTTTAACACAGTAACCTTTTATTTTTTAATTAATAAAACAGTCATAGTGTCTATAATATCAGTGGTTAACAATAAATTAATGTGAACCACATACATTTAAGAGTTTGTAAAAAAGATGATCCCATCTAATGATATATTTTTATTTTTTTTAAGCAATAGATCTATATATATAATGACAAAAGCTAATGAACACCCCGGAGATGTTAGAATAAGATAATTAAAAGTAGAAATATTAACTTAAAATAAACAATAATTACACCGATCGACGCGTGATTGATTTTGGCATGCATTTCCAAATTAATATCATATTAAGAAATATTTTAAAAGGCTATCCAACGCGCCGGAGGCGTTCGTTAGCAGATACACTATAATATAATATGATTTATTTCCACATAGTTGGTATGATCGACAATGAATAACAGATACAATAATATTAGTATGATTGTATGACCAATAGAATCAATAGTACTGTATACATTAATGTTCATAAACATTAGTATCACATTATATATGAAGTATAATATATTAATACTTCCATTATTGCATTCTTGCTAAAATTTGCTATCCCTAAAATTGATAGTAAATTGATAAAATTTATCTCTTTCTACATATTTACCATGTAAAAATTACTCATAACCCTAAAATAAAAAATAATACTCCGTAAAAAGTTAATAAAACGTTGTAGTACAAAATAAGAATTCTAGTCTTTCCCAAAAAGAAAAAAAAAAATCTTATTCCTATATGGAAAACCCCTATTAATATAAAATAGGAATTTTAGTCATTAATTGAAAACCCAAATTCTTATCGATTTTATTCGTTATACAAGCTAAGCCCACCAATATATATTAATACTAGTTTTGTGTCCGGCAATGTCCGGATTGCCCTAAACTTTTTAGCTTGAATGTTAAATACGATCATATAACCCCTTTTGATAATGTAAAATATCTAGACATATGATATCATATCGCTTATTTATTTAATAGTGTACTTTGTAGTTTTATTTGTAAATAGATATGTATGTTACTATTAACTTGATAATTTTTATTGCACTTAAATTATTTCTAATGAACTGAAAGTATTTTTACCAAACCAAAATTATATTTTCTGATTAATACTTATTTTCTATTTTTTTATTAAAATATATTATAAATGGATCTCATTTTAAAGACCTTTGTAAAACGAATTTTATGATGGAAATAGTATTGAGTTATAAGATATTTATTAAAATTTATAATTAACTTTGTATATATGAAATATTAGAAGTATATCGATAATAAAACACTATACAACAATTTTATCTTAAGAAAATCTATCCAAAATTCGCTTAATTAGCATCCTATGTGTCACAATAATACAAATTTGTTGCCTACGTGACTCGATACTTGGCGAAAAGTTAGAATGCCAAGTATCGCTGTCTCGTGGCCTGGCTGCGAGATCGACTTTATATATTAGTATAAATGGATCTTATTTTAAAGAACTTTTTAAAACGAATATGATGATGGAAATAGAATTGAGTTATGTGAAATTTATTAAAAGTTATGATTAATTTTGTATATATGAAATATTAGAATTTTATCGATAATAAAACACTATACAACAATTTTATCTTTAAAAATCTATCCAAAAATCGTTTACTTAGTATCATATGTGTCACAATAATACCTATTTATCTCCTACGTGGCACGACACTTGGTGAAAAATTGGAATGCCAAGTGTCGTTGTCTCGTGGTCTGGCTGCGAGACCGGTTTATTTATTAGTGATATGATTATCTAATATAATTAGCAACTAATTTTCTTTCAAAAAAAAAAAAAAAAGCAACTAACTCTTCTAAACTGTGATAAACTAAGCAACCCAGAAATACAAAAAAAATTACTCCTTCAAAAAAAAAACAAAATTAAAAAAGAATAATAAACAAAAGATTAGGCAATATATTGATACTCATAAAATCAAATAAAAGGCTCATATTGCTAGCACATTTTAATAACAGATTAATTAATAAAGATTAGATATAGGTGTATGGCAAATGCATATTCTTGAAGAAAAAGAACAATAGAAGTAATTAATCCACACGACGAAGTGTGTTTTCCCGTAATTCTTCTTCGATTTGTTTGTTTAATTTGTAGAGTTGAGTTATGGCTCTCTCGCCGTC